TTCAAAAGGTTAACCTTTTTGGGGCTAATTCTTGTATCATCTTTTAACCCCGAGACCTCTTCCTTCTGTAGGGGTAGTTCTCTAAATTCGGGTCCCCTCCCCTTTTTTAGGTCCCCAATCATGGTACGGCACCCTTACAAAAAGGACCCCCAAAAGGGCTCTAAACCCTAAACCCCTAAACCCTTAAACCTTAAACCCTTAAACCCTAAACCCTAAACCCCTATATGGAACCCCAAAGCGAACCCCCGACTGAGGCAATGAAAGCCGGGGCATCTCAGGTGACCCCCGAGAAGCGGCCGATGCGCTCCGTCACAGAGCGGCTGGCCCGGCCAAGGGCTGGGGTTTTAGGGTGTTTAGAGTTTTTAGGGTCTAGGGTAATTTAAGGTTTAGGGTTTTTAGGTTTTTAGGGTTTAGGGTACTTTAGGGTTTAGGTTTTAGGGTTTTTGGAGTTTAGGGGTTGATGCTTTGCTGTTTAGGTTCAGGATTCCGGGAGTTACTTTAGGGTTTCAGGGTTTCGGCGGTTGAGGCGCTGTTTCGACCTGAGGGATCCTCGGGGCTAATAGGGTTCATCCAAACAGAGAGGGGGGCTATGGGTCTAGGGTGTAGGGTTCAGGGTGTGGGGTTTAGGGTTTTTGGGGTTTAGGGTTCAGGGTTTAGGGTTTATTATAGGGTTTAGGCTATCGGTTCAGGGTAAAATTGTGCAGGATTGGTAATAACTATGCCCCTATATTCCCTGTGCCTCCTTGTAGCTGTAGTCTGATATACCCCAAACCATGATGAAATCCTATGTTACATATTTCCAGAATAGGCCGTGAATGATAGCACCTGCACGCCTGCGACGGAGCTCGTCGAAGGCGCTTTCTCAAGCCGCCAGCAGCGCGTGAACATCATCACGAAGTCAAGAAGAAAAGAGACCTCTAATACTCAGAGCCTCTGGAGAAGAGCTCGAAACCCTGAGATTAAGCCCCAAAAACCCCAAACAAAGACTAAAAGGAATAAAACCCCAAACAAAGACTAAAAGGAATGCCCCAAGGATGTCCCCAAACCACGAGCGACGAGAGCTCTAAGACCCTGTGGACAAAACCCTCTACAACCCATCAGCCCTCGAGCAGCCTTCGGATGGGAAAACCTCGCAATCGACAGCACATCTCGCTTGTGTACACCATGCTTCGCAGACATGGAAAGGTGGGGGCCTGGACCCCGGGAACCCGGCACTCCGGGTTCCCGGGGTTCTGGGGCACCCTTGAGAAGCTGGGAGAGGCGGAGGTGCAGAAGTGGTACAAGTTTTCCAAGGCCAACAGGCAGAATGGGCAAGCATGTTGCTCCTACTACGCCTCGCAGTGCCCTATGTATGACGAATGGAGGCGACAGTGTGGCATGGAAACAGCACAAGGTGTCTTTTCCCCACTGCCTCCGGAAGAGGGATTGGGCTGTAGGGTTTTTTTTGGTTTTCGGTTTTGGGGTTTAGGGTTTAATCAGGGTTTAAGGTTAAGGGTTGTAGGTTTTTCGGTTTTTGTTTTTCGGTTTTAGGGTTTAGGGTTTAGGGCTGAGGGCCGCGAGCCTGACTTCCGAAACCCCGGCGCCTCTACGAAGACCCCGCCGCAAGACTCTAAGGCCCCTGAAACGACCAGGTAGGCACGTAGCTCTCTACATTAGGGGTTTAGGGTTTAGGGTTTAGGGGTTTAGGGTTCAGGGTTTAGGGTTTAGGGGTGGTTTAGGGCCCCTGAAGGGTCCCTTTTATACCCTTATAGGGGTGCCGTGCTATGATTAGGAGGCTCTACGGTCGATGATATAAGTCCTGCATGACCCTAAGGACCCCAATCTATAGGAATTATGGTATATTCCTTATGATGGGTAATTGCCGGGTTTCTACCATCAACCGAAACCCTAAACCCTAAACCCTAAACTGGCCATAAACCCTAAACCCCTAAGCCCTAAGCCCTCAGTTTCGAGAGCGGCCCAGGTACATCAGGTCCCCGGCGCAGCTCAACCAGATCAAGTCGGAAGCCGGGAAGCAGTCTCCCTGGCGGAGTTCTCTACTGAATCAGGTTTGGGGGTTTAGGGTTGAGGGTTTATGGTTTATGGGGTTTAGGGTTTAGGGTTTAGGGTTTAGGGTTTATGGGGTTTAGGGTTTAGGGTTTAGGGTTTAAGGCCAGGGGAGTTGGGGCGGAGGGCGCCCCCCCAAACCCTGAACCTTCAACATCTTCAGTGGGTCGTTAGGATCCAATATACTCCCTAATTGAGGGGTTTCAGAGCCTTTGGCCAGTGTTGCAAGAATCGACGAAACCGTGCCGATCGAGGCACTTGGGGAGGCATTGTCCGCTAGGCTAGGTAGCTTAGGGTATAGGGTTTAGGGCTTCGGGTTTAGGGCTTAGGGTAGAACTCCCGTTGCCTTTCAAACTTCGGTCTCCTTGAGACCGAGTACTAGAACCAAAAGAGTACGTACCCATAAGTGGCGGATGCTACTGGGGAACTCTGCACTGGAGGCCGAAAAGCATCACGAGTTCATAGCTCTGAGCCCTCAACTAAACCCTAAACCCCTAAACCCTTAAACGCCTAAACCCCCAAAACCCCTAAACCTGGACCGAAACCCGAAACCTTATAGAGCCTCCCGCCTCAACCCTGAGTCCTGAACGCCCGAAACCCTGAGCCAAAGAACGCCGAACCCTGAAGCCAAGTTCCTGGACCTACCCGTGAAGCCGTGTACGTCTTCTCCTAGGAGCTGGCGGGAGTTGATCATTGGACCCTATAAACCCCAATCCTAAAACCCTACAATCCTAAAAATATCCCGAAGTTCGAATCGAAACCCTACAAAAACCCGGAACCCCAAAACCGATAAGCCACTACCATGGCGCGTTTCCTCTGGCTTTGTGCGATCGCGCTGGCATCCTCCTGCGTCGAGACGAAGAAGCCGCCGCTGGGAGAGGCAATTAGGCTGGGTTCTTGTTAGGGGTTTAAATTAAGATACTATGGTTTTCTTTACTATGGTAACTTGATTTAAATGCCTTATAGCAAGAACCCAGATTAGGGGCTTAGCTGAAGGGTCCATGATTTGGGGGTTTGGGTTTGCGGCTTCTGGGGCTTGAGGGCTTTGTGGATCCAGACGAGATTCGAGGGTTTAAGGGTTTCAGGGTTTGGGGTTAGGAAACCACAAATAGCAGGATCCTCACTAAATCCCTCTTGACCCTTTTAACCCTAGTCCCTAACCCTAACCCCTAAACCCTAACGGTTCGAGAGGGTTCCAGCACACTCAAGGCGGCTCCTCACTATGATTGGGGGTCTGCCAAACTGGGAGTGTCGGGGGGTTGAGGGTTCGGGCGTTTAGGGTTTAGGGGCAAGTTTTCAGCAGCTACAATGGAACCCATGTGGGCTGTCCTATTTCTCGCATTAAGTCCCTCGACCCTCCAACTAGAGCCAAAGCCCACGCCTGGGCGTTGGGGGCATCTTGAACATTCCCCATTCCAGAAATCAGAAAGAACCTTCGATGCGAGACCCTGCGCCCCAAAGCATACAGGTTTGTATTCGTGATTAGCCTGAACCCTAAACCCTAAGCCCTGAACCCTAAACCCTAAGCCCTAAACCCTAAGCCCTAAACCGACCTCCTGGAGTGAGGAATATCCTGTTCATCCTCGCGGACGATCTCGGCCCCGTTCTCAGGGTGTCGTTGCGGAGATCCGAAACGGTCAAGGTCTAGGGTTTAGGGATTAGGGTTTAGGGTTTAGGGTTTATCAGAACGCTTGGGGGTTCAGGGTTTGGGCATAGGGGTTGGGGTGCGGGGTCGTGGGTGTAGCTTGCAGGAATGTGGGATTTCAAAGGGGTTCCGGGATTCAGGAAATTCAGGGAACCGTGACCCTAAACCCTTAAACCTTAAACCCCAAAACCCTAAAGCCCTAAACCCTCTTTAAACCCTAAAACCCTACAACCCTAAACCCTAAACCCTAAAACCCTCAACCCTGAAGCCCTAAACCCTGTTTAAACCCTAAACCCTACAACCCTGAAGCCCTAAAACCCCTAAACCCTGCAACCGGGTCAGGTTGGAGGATTTCTGGCTCGGGAGTTTAGGGCGTGAGGGGTCGACTCGGGGGTAGTCGGAGCTTCTGGGGAGTCGGGTGGATGCCGGGTTTAGGGGGTTTAGGGTTTAGGCCTTCAGGGGTTTAAAGGTTTAGGGCTATAGGGCTTTAGGGGTTTAGGGTTTAGGGCTTTAGGGGTTTAGGTTTCAGGGTTTTGGGGTTTTGGGGTTTAGGCTTTAGGACCCAGGGTTGAGAGTTTAGGGTTTAGGGTTCGGTGCAGGGCTTCAGAAACGTAGGATCCTGGCGTTTGGGGTAGAGAGGTTTGGGATTTAGGAGTTCGGCTTTGTGGTGTGGGTTTGTGAACTATAACTAGATCAACGGCTACAGCAAGAACTTCGGGCTTCGAGTCCTTCTAGGAGCAGTTCTTGCACTGATGGTTATGATGATGCCCTACAAGAGTCCAAGTATTTGTTACCTTTACAAGTACAAACTCGCCATACTACTAACGTGGAGCAGCCGCAAGAGTTTCGACGTCTGCCCGGCATGCGAGGCCAGCGATGTCGATGTAGGGAACCATAAGCTATGTTAAAATATATTGTAGTACCTAGACCCTCCATCTACCCTCTAAAGACCCTAAATACCCTTAATTTGGGGTCTTATACCCCTATTTGAAGATACTTGGAGGGTCCTGGTACATTATACCTTTTCGTGACAGGGGTTAGAAGCCCGTCGCGTCCCGAGTCTTGCCTCATGGCGACAGCAGCGGAAGATGAGGTTGACGTCGATGTCGAAACCGATGAACAGAAACTTAGTTCCCAAATACCCAACCTTTGCACTTTTTGGGCTCTTATATAATTTAGTAGTAATCTGAAAGTTTAACTTTTTTTCCTCTGGCTTCTTGGAGAAGTGAGGAAGTTTCTTCTTACCTTGGAGTCACGAGTCTTCGTGAAGAATCGGGCGTACTTCTTGTTCGTCACTGCGCGCGAGAAGATGGCCGAGTTGTGGCGGAAGTCAGGCTGGATCCTTAATAGAAGTCAACAGGGCAAAACGCTAGGGTTTGGGTTTAGGGTTTAGGGTTTAGGGCTTTAGGCTTTAGGGTTAAGGGTTTAGGGTTTAGGGTTTAGGGCTTGGGTTTAGGGTTTCGGGTTTACCTATAGTAGTTCCTTTTTGGGGTCACCTTTTTGGATCCTTAATATAGATTTGGTTAATGGAGACTATAGGTAGGGTCAGTTGAAGGTCAAATCCCTGAATCCAAGCTTCCAGCCGCTACAACATTTCAAAGGCTTTACAAAACTCCACACCCTAAGTAAGCCCTGGGCCTCAAAGAAAGGCCGTGCTTTGGGCCTCCGCGTCCCAAGTGATCTCGACTTGGAGGCGCTGGGACCTCCACAAACCGAGTCGGTGGTCCGAGCTTTTGAGCTGTGCAGAGACTCAGCTTTTCCAGCAGTTTCGTAGTAAGCCCCAAACCCTAAACCCTAGACCCTAAAACCTAACCCTAAACCCTAAACCCTATATAGACCCTAAACCCTGAACCTTGGGGTTTGAGGGTTTGGGGTTTAGGGGTTAGGGATCTGGTGCCATCATATCCGCCTCATAGGCCCTATCTAGTTAAGCTTGTGGCGATCCACCGAGAACCCGGACCCCGTTTACGACATATAACTAGTCATTCCTCAGGGTTTAGGGTTTAGTGTTGGGGGTTTGGGTTCCCTATACCTGACAGTAAACTATAAATTTACCGAAAACTCCTGCTAAACATTAAGGCCACACGATTGCCAGGGCTTTGAAACTTTGGCTTACTTCCGGGACAGATCTGAGAGGGGCTTTCAGTTCATAATGTTGATTGAGATGTGTTGGAAGTTCTTATACTTTAGGGTTTAGGGCTTAGGGTTTCGTAGCTTCAATTTCTGCTTGGCTGCGAAAGCAAGGAGAGTTCTCGGGAGAGTCCTTGTTCAACCACTGCATGCGCGCCTACTACTTTGCTGCGGCTGTGCGGTGGTTTGGCGAAGGCTCGCTGTAAACCCAAGACCCTAGAAACGCTGAAACATCTGGCCCACACCAAAAAACCGACTATACAGCCGAACCCTCAAGCCATAAACCTCAAAGCCCAAACCCAAATCCCTAAACCCCAAGCCCTTGAAACCTGAACAACACCCTCTGCCCAGAAACCCCACTTCTAGAGCCTCAACGTCTCGAACCCTTACCGAATCCCGAAGGAGCCCTTCAATTAAAGAGCCTGGTGTTCTGTAAACCCTATAAGCAGTTTAGGGTTTAGGGTTTACTATAAACCCTATATGCAGTTTAGGGTTTAGGGGTTACTATAAACCCTTCAAGCAATTCAGGGTTTAGGGTTTACTATAGACCCTATAAGCAGTTTAGGGTTTAGGGTTTAATATAAACCCTATAAGCAGTTTAGAGTTTAGGGTTTAGTATGAACCCTATAAGCAGTTAGGGTTTATATAGGGTTTACTATAAACCCTATCAGCAGTTTGGGGTTTAGGGTGTAGAGTGTAGGGTTTAGGGTTGTGGACGAGGCTCGTTGGATGGCCTTGACTTGGAGCAGATGGCCGTGGCCTTCGCTTTCCACGACTTTGGCTTGACAAGGACCCTACCCTAAGGGTCCATGTACCCAAATAGTATCTACTTTGGCCCCAAAGTAGCTATATAGGGACTACTGTAAGGCCTAAACCCTAAACCCTAAACCCTAAACCCTATAAACCCCATAAACCCCCTAAACCCTAAACAAAAATATACACTATTTAGGTACATGGACCCTAAGGGCTGAATCGTGTTCTTGTAGCGGCTGTATGGTTTTATGGTTTAGGATTTATAAGGTGTAGTGCAAGTTCATTAAGGTTCAAGGGGTTCAGAGGTTGGGGGTGGCTTTTTAATGTTCGTTCGAACTTTAGTGAGGAGGACGAAACAGATGATTGCTATTAGCAGGCCATCTAAAACCTAAACCCTATAAACCCTAAACCCTAAACCCTAAGCCCTAAACCCTAAACCCTTCAAGAGACGCTCAGGACCAGCCAAGCAGAAAGTGAGGAGTCGATGTACCCCTTTGAGGTTCGTGGGGCTCGAAGGTGCTTGCGCTTTGCCTTGAAAGAGACACAGATGACCCAGCAGCAAATCAAGGTGATGTATGAGGCCAGCTGGCTTCCGAAAATTAATTTTCAGAGCCGGAAACGCTACCCTTGAACCCCAAATTCAGAGCCGAAAACCCTACACTTTGAACCCCAAACCACAAAACCGTAAAGCGGAAAGCCTTAACGAGGCCATCCGCCTGCACACGGCGCTCGGTTTTGAAAAGCCCACGGAGCTGGCTGGCCTAATTACCGTGGGTACGTGCTGTGATGTGGTGGGCTACCGCTGCGAAGACCTCTCTAAGAAGACGAAGGCCGACATCCTCACGGCATATCCGCGGCTGAAGCTGGGTTCGTTTAGGAGGGTTTAGGGTTTAGGGCTTAGGGTTTAGGGTTCGTTTAAGGGTTGAGCTTTGGTCTCCATTGTGGTTCCTTTTTCTGGCTTAACCAGTTCTATATGGGTAGTTCTCTGAATGAGGGTCCCTTTTTAATTTTAGGTCCCCAACATAGTACGGCACCCCTACTACCCATATTAAGGTAGCCCCCCCCCCCCCAAAAAAATAAACTACCATGGAGGCTCTTGGCAGGGTTCATTCGGGGTTTCGAGACGGGGGTCTGGCGTGCTCGAGGCTTTGTTTTGACGGTTTAGGGTTCAGGGTATAGGGTTCAGGGTTTAGGCTTTAGGGTTAAGGGTTTCGGGTTCAGGGTTTAGGGTTTTAGGTTTTAGGGTTTTAGGTTTTAGGGTTTAAGGTTTAAGGCTTAGGGACTGGTTTCCTGAAAGGAAGCACGATCATCTTGGCTATCTGAGGGGTTAACTGAGAATGATGTGTGTGTTATGGCTAAGATTATGGCTATGATTATGAGTCTGTTTGTGTGGTTGTGACTATATTTGTTATGTGTATTGTTATCGAGAACCAAGGAAGTGGAAGGACGTAGTGATCAAAGCCTTTGCTGACGATGCCAAGATGCCTCACCCATCGCCCGTGATGAGGCGGTACCAGCGAGAGTACTTCTTTAACCTGCTGGTACGAATGGCCCCTTTCTCAGAGTAAGCCTCTTCCCAAATGCCCCGAAAACCCGTGAGGGTTTGCGAAGATCCTCGCTCGAAGGAGCGAGGTTTGTTTTGCATGCCAAAACCCTCTGTTCGAATGAACGAGGTTAACTGCGTGCCTGAGAGGGCAGGCTGACAAAGAGACGCTAGCAATCTTCGAAGGGGTTTGGGTTTAGGTGTTTAGGTGTTTAGGGGTTTAGGGGTTTAGGGTTTAGGGTTTTATGCTGAGGGCCACAGACACGAAAGGATCTCACAGTTAAGGCTTGTAGGATTAGCATTATCATCTCCCACGCCCTACCTAACCGTTTGAACCCTGAACTCTTCGACTACACCCGTAAACCCTGAACCCCGTATACCAAAAAAAGTTCCTAATCCTAAACCTGAAATCCAGAAAGTTCTAAGCCCCGCAACCATAAACCGTAAGACCATGTATGTCCTAAGCCCTAAAACCCCTAAACCCTACGCCCTTACACCATAAACCCTAAACCCCCCCCCCCCTAAACCAACGGACAGGGGAGCATGACCCTTTTCTTTGGTATTCATTGGCCCTTAAACAGGGGGTCCTGGCCTAAGTCCTCTTTGTTTCGTTTCAAGAACCCTGAGAGAACCCCTAAAGAAGCCCCTATGTGCACATAAAATTTCCAGTTACTTCATACGTGTGTGTATGTGTATATATATATGTATAGAAATATA